GAGTATCTTTTTTTTTTTTTTTTTTTGGTACCAGGGATCAAACTCAGGTCCTTGCGCTTGCAAGGCAGGCAGCGGAACCACTGAGCTAAATTCCCGGCCCTATGGAATCTTATAATACCATACCATTCTTTGCCAACTATATCTTGATTTCAGGAATATTAAATGTAAAAATTTATCATTATGATTTTTAGCTATGACTTGCTATGTGTTTGGGTCACTCCCAAAATTATGTTGACGTCTAAACCCTGAAATCTGTGGATGTGGTCTTTCTTGGAATTTGGGTTGTTGCAGCTGTAATTAGTTTAAATGAGGTCACATGGGAGCAGAATGGGCCCTAATATAACTGGAGTGTGTCCTTATGAGAAGAGAAAATAGCTGGGCATGGTGGTGCACTCCTGTAATCCCAGCACTTGGGAGGCTGAGGCAGGAGGATCACTGTGAGTTCCAGGTCAGTCTCAACTACGTAATGAGACCCTGTCTCAAAAAACCAAACCAAAACAAAACAAAACAAAAAACCAAAAAGAAAAGAGAAAATAGAACCATAGAGACAAGCAGGAGAATGCCATGTGACAAGAGAGGTTGAGACTGGAGAAATGTATATACAAGCCAAGAATTGTCAGCAAACACAGAGGCAAAGAAGAAGCAAGAAAGATTCTTCCTCTAGAGGTTTAGAGAACATGACTCTGTCAACTTCTAGACTTCAGACTTCAGGGCCTCAAAAAACTGTTAGGAGATGCATCTCCACCATTGTGAGTGTCCCAAATTTGTAGTATTTGTTACAGCAGCCCTAGCAAACTGATACAGACACTTCCATACCAATATTCAATAACGGGTAGAAAATCCAAACTGAAGTTCAGTAATGAACAGGGGGCAGAAAAACACCATAAACCAAGTAGATTGAACAGACATACATAGAACACTATTCCCAACAACAGCAGAATACATGTTCTTCTGAAGTACACATGCAACATTTTTCAAGATGATATGGCATATGTTAGGCCACGAAACAACTCATAATTAATTTTGAAAGATATACAAAGTATCTTCCCCAATCACAGTGGACTGAAACTAGAAATCAACAACATACGGAGAACTTGAAAATTCACAAGTGTGTGAAAATTACACAACACACTCTTTTTTTTCTTTCTTTTTTGGTACTGGGGATTGAACTCGGGACCTTGCACTTGTGAGGCAGGCAACGGAACCACTGAGCTAAATCCCCAGTCCCTATACAACACTCTCTTAACCAATGGGTCAAAGAAGAAATTACAAGGGAAACTAGAAAATACTCAAGACAAATGTTAACAAAACAGATTTAATGAGAAACAGTGATGCTGGGCACGGTGGTGCACCCCTGTAATGCCAGCACTTGGGGGCTGAGGCAAGAGGATCACCACAAGTGTTAGGCCAGCCAGGGCTACATAGTGAGTTCAATGCCAGCCTGAACTATGTAGCAAGTCCCTGTCTTAAAAAAAAAAAAAAAAATCAAGTTATGAGAAATAGTGAAAACCGTGCTAGGAAGAAATTTTACAGCTTTAAGTGCATATAAATTCTTAAATCAACAACCTACCTTTCCACTGTAAGAAAGTAGAAAAAAAGAGATCAAATCAAAGCCAAAGCTAGCAGAAGGAAGGAAAGATTAGAGATGAAACAAATAAAATAGAGATTGCAGAAACAATAAATCTAAAAGTTTGTTCTTTGAAAAGATCAACAAAATTGACAAGCCTTTAGCTAGATTGACTAAGAAAAAGCCTAGACACAAATTACTAAGGTCAGAGATGAAAATATGGATATTACTACCAATTTTACAAATGTAAAAAGAATTATGAGGGACTACTATGAACAATTGTTTGTCAACAAATTAGATAACTTAGATGAGATGGAAAAATTCCTAGAAAAACTGACTCTACCAAAACCGACTAAGAAAAAGTAGAAAATCTAACTATACCTAACTAGTAAGGAGATTGAATCAGTAACTAAAATCCTCCCAATGATAAATCAGGCATGATGGCACGTGCTTCTAATCCCAGCACTTGGGAGGCTGAGGCAGGAGAATCACCAGGAGCTGGAGGCCAGCCCGGGTTACATAATGAGTTCAAGAGCAGCCTGAGCTACATAGCAAGACCATACCTCAAAAAACAAAAACAAACAAACAAACAAAGTGAAGTTATGAATATGTTAATCAGCTTGAATTAGTCATTCCACAATGTATACATGTATTAAAACACCATGTATGCCATAAATATATATAATTCTCATTTGACAATGTTTTTAACTTAAAGATTTTTTATCAGATTCGTAATCAAAATAAGAGTAGTGTAACCTAAAAAAGAAAATCACTTGGGCTGGGATTTAGCTCAGTGGTTCCACCACCTGCCTTGCAAGCACAAGGGCCCAAGTTCGGATCCCCAGTACCAAGAAAAAAACAAAAAACAAAACCAAAAATCACTGAACTATGACTTCACTTTATGTTTGCTACTCTTGCTTCTAACTTGCAAACAATTGTCTAGAACATGGGATCAGAACATATGATTGCCCTAAATAAACTTTCCAAAATTAGCTTAAAATTATATATATTTACCAAAAGATTACTTTTCTAAGTTAAATTATCTAAAATTAATTTTCAGGAAAGTCTTATGTGCCACTACAATTTAGTTGTGAAAATAGGTAAGTCCTACAACTACTTTGAGATCCTTTGACCAAAACAAAGTATGAAAAAAAAGATGTAGTATCTAGTTTAAACTTTACCTTCCTTCCAGACTGTTTATCTCCAATAATATCCATATGTCTCTTAAAAAGTTCTAATACAGCACTGTAGACCAGTTCATACTGTTCCTGAAGAGAAACAAACCGGAACAAATGAAGAAAACCAAACAACTTGGTGAACTAATGAACAAGATTCAAGATTATGAACCCCATCAAATAAATACTAATAGAGCAGGCCTGAAAAGACTATTAACAGTTATTACATTTTTTGGTTTATATAGCCCATTCCAGATTTCAAAACACTTTAAAACTGCTAGAAATCATAAATATTTTGCATAGCTCTAGGTAACGTACAAATATTTCATGGCATTTTTCTTTTATATTCTAATCCTACTTTCTTATCTTTTCTTCCTCCCGCATTCCCTCTAATTCTATTTTCTTTGTTCACATTTTTTAAAGTTTATTTCACCCTAAATGCATTTTTAAACCATCTTTCCTGAAAAAAAAAAGCTACATAATAGTTGGTATATAGACAGGTAACTTCAATATATATTAATAAACTTCACCTTCACAATTGCTCCATGAAATAGGTAGGCTATTATACTTTTTTTTGGTGCCAGGAATCTAACTTGGGACCTTGTGCTTGCGAAGCAGGTGGTGGAACCACTGAACTAAATCCCCAGCCCCTATTATACCTATTTATAAGCAGTTTTTCCAAGGTCATTCAGAAGCAATTTCTGGGAGTTGGCATAGAAACTGAGTCTTCTAACTTTTAGTTTACTGAAATTTTGTCCTCGTAAAGAGACCATAGAAAAGTAAACCACTGATTAAAGTTTGGAAATTTGTGGTTATACAGAGATTTACTGTAGAGAAATGAGACCTACTCTTACAAGGTTATGGGTTTTTACTACTCTGTTTTTGCCTCTGTACCTGCTCAAGTATTTTCTCTGACATTTTCCATAATCCTGGACAAGTAAAGAACCATTTATTTTAACAGTGATTTTAGCAGGAGAGCCACGTAGGGACCATAATGTCCTACACAATAGGAACTGAAAGAGGAATCAGACAGGAAGCATTCATCTGGTTCCAGTGCCATTTCGTGGTTAGGGTAACATCATATAAAGCAGCTACAAGTCTTAAGATATTTGTTCAGGCCACTGATGATCTGACTATGTGAAGGCCTTTTAAGCCATCTTTCATACTTAAAGAATGAGGCTGAAATGGAACTTTTCTGAATGTGGTATGGTTTTACTGATTTAGTGTTATAACTTATATAACTAGGTTGCATACTTCCTGGAGTCTTTATGCATTTACATGGATCATTATTCTCCTTTCAAGTCTGACAGTACTAAACCAACTAATGCTTTCACTTCACATAAACTTTTCCCCTCACAGTCTGAATATAGAAAACCCCTACAGTCAACACATTTTAAAAAATTACTTTTTTTCCACAAACTATTAGTGGAAAACCTGTGTGGGCCAAACAGAGAGGTTTATATAGTAATAGCTCTTCATTTTTTCCCTTCAACTCACAACTTCTAGATTAAAATACCTAAACTGCCACTACCAATCGTTTTATCTGTAAATCTAGTTACAAGTTCATTTCTCAGTGCTGGAAACACTAGGTTCTGATCTGTTCTGTTGGAAGAATTATTTAAAAGTAGCTCTAAAAAAAAACTAGGTGAAATCTCTTTATATGTCATAAACATCGATGAACATTTTTGATGAATCAATTAGTAAATGTCAAATTCCACCTGAAAGATGGAGACCATGTAGAAATATGGGCACAAATATTGATGAGGGAATCTGAGTAAAATTAATGCTGTTGGACAATGAGAGATTCAGACCAGGAAGAGAAAGGAAGGCCATTCCTGACAGGATGAATATGGGTGATCTGGAATGGGTTTGAAAATTGTGATATGGCCGGGAGTGGTGGTGCACGCCTGTAATCCCAGTGCTCCGGAGGCTGAGGCAGGAGGATTGCTGTGAGTTCAAGACCAGCCTGGGCTATATAGTGAGTTCCAGGTCAGTCTCAACTACACAGTGAGACCCTGTCTCAAAAAACCAAAAAAAAAAAAAAAGAAAAGAAAATTGTGATATATAATATAGTATGGTTGTAATTACGGTTTTCTAAAGAACAGAATAAAAACTATAGAAAAATTCTAACAGTGGCTTTCTTAGATGATAGAAATGTGAATGCTTTTAAATTTAATTATCACTACTTCCTAAAATGAGCATATTCACTACCTTTACCAGATTCTGTTCCTACCTCCAAAAGTAAAAATTATAAATTCCTGATTTTCTATGGCTTCTGCAGTGGCTTTATTACTATGAAATTTCACATTAATCTGACCCTCAATTATTTCTTTCTAATAAGTCAGCTTGTTGAAATTTTTCAACATCCTTTACAAGTAGGAAATACTATATTGATTTCTTTTTTCTTTTTGGTACCGGGGATTGCGTTTGCAAGGCAGGCGCCAGAACTACTGAGCTAAATCCCGGGCCCTATATTGATTTCTTGATATTTTTTAAACAGAAAATAAAATATAAAGAATCAAAAGAGTTTGACCCAGAACAAGGGATACACAAAAACCACTGGGATATTCAGAATTAGAGAAATGGGTTATATTTGAGTAGTTGTTATATTTGAGTAGTCAGATGTTTTTTGTAAATATATAAATGGAGCAAGACTCAAAGACATGTTTGGATCTGTTCACCATAGTCCTTACCGGAGTTTGAACTAACGAAGGCCTCTGTGTTCGCATTTCCTGGATCAAACTAAAAACACTGAAGTTCTCAGGAATTATCTATCAGATAAAAGGAAAAAAGAACTTATTCCTTTATCCTTTCTTAATAAATCATTGTCACTTTCTCATCATCTTGTACTTCTGTGACACCTGCTAGCTTAACGGGGAATATCAACAAAAGAAGACTGCATTGTAAAAACAAATGTGGTTTCTCTCACTTGTACCATGATTTAGAGACTGGTATTTTTCCTAGAAAAGGCTGAAGAAAGCCTTTAGAATTATTTCACATGGAGATCATCAAATATCTGGAACTAAAGATATGAGAGACAAGACTCAGCAGATAAGCAAGGATTAGAGCTTTGTGAAATAAAAGAAACGGGCAAATAAGTCCAAAGCCATATTTTAAATTTCCTATTTGCCTAATAGACATTAAAAATTGTTTATAAGCCAGGCATGGTAGTGCACACCTGTAATCCCAGCATTCTGGGAGGCTAAGCAGGAGGATTGCAAGTTTGAGCCCAGCCTGAGTAATTTAACAAGACCCTATCTCAAAGTAAAAAACAAAAGGATGAGGATGTAGCTCTATGCAAATGCCCTGGGGTTGATCCCTAGTATCACAATATAATACAGAGATAGAGATAGAGATACACAGAGATAAGAACACAACATGTGATTGAGATTGAGTCCATCTGCTAAAGCAGTTTGGATAAAGGAAGAATAAATATGTAATTTAGGGCTGTGGCTCTCAAATATTAGCATACATCGGAATCACCTGGACAGCTTGTTGGGCTGCACCTATAGAACTTCTGGATCAGTCCATGGTGTAGGGCCCAAGAATTTTACTTCTAACAAGTCCAAGGTGATGCTGATGTTACTTGTCTGGACACACTTTGCAGTCCTGGGGATCAAACTCAGGACCTCACACAAGGCAGCCCTACCGCTGAGCTACACCAGCAGCTTCTGGGACCACACTTTAAGAAATGCCAACCTAGGAACTAATTTAATTATCTGATAGAGTAGGTCTAAAAACAAATTTTTCTAGAAAAGATGAAGATATTTTGAAAAACAAAACTATTCTCCAGTCTGAAAGCAATGGAGTAAACAAACAGAAGAACCTGCTGAGAGAAACTCACCCCATCTTTTAGCAACATCCATATATAATCGATAGCACAAATCACACCGGTCCTTCCACAGCCAGCGCTGAAATGAAAGAACACAGTAGACGGACACTTAGAGAGAGGAGATTGTTGACAGTGGCCAGAAAATTTCATCATCAGATTTGAGGAAGCAGCCCAGAACCTACAAAGCTTTTCGCAGTCTGCCATTTTCCAGAGCGCGTTTGCCACAATGAACCTCGGGACAGGTCCACAACAGCATCTCATAGCAAGTGTCACTAAAGCTACACTGTTCACGAGCAACATCAGGAAAGCTCGAATTTATTGCTCAGGTTGAACTTATTATAGTTTCTTTCTGCTGTTGACCTTTCCCTTTCAATTATAGGGTGTGGCCAGACCTTTGGTTTGTTCGAAGGTTCGTAGGTGACTTCTTACCTGCAGTGAATGCATATGGGAATACTGTCATCCTCCTGGTAGCAACGCACATCCCAGATGAGCTCAAGAATAGGGTCTATAGATGAAGGCACATCATGGTCTGGCCAGTTCTTATAATGAAACTGGTAGATAGTTCGAGTTTCCTATGAAAAATACCAACGATGAGAGTTTGAAATGAGAACTCTAACTCATTCTGCTAGTCTGAGCCTGGCCTGGTGGAACATGCCTCCGGCCCAGCATTTTGGGAAGCTGAGGCAGGGTGATCACAAGTTTGAACCCAGTCTAGGCAACTTAGTTAGACTCTGTCTCAAAATAAAAAAATAAAAAGGGCTGGGGACATAGCTTAATGCAAAGCCTTGAGTTCAATCCCAAATTCAAAATCATTGTCATTATCATCATCTGACTTATTGGGTTCTATTCTATATCTTTTTTTTGTTTTTGTTTTGGCGATTTATTTTCTTTTCTTCTCTACAGGTGTCAGGTGATCGATCAGATGCCTTATGAGAAAGTGATTTAAGGCTAACCCAAACCACTCCCTTCACAAGAGGAGATAGATGTGAAAAGAGTCCAAACCAGATCTCTCCCCCAAAACCGTCTCTTAAATGGGTCGCAAGCATGCTGCTATACTAAAATCCCTGTGTCTTTAGGAATGATAGGGTTTAGGGCAGCCTGAGCTCTCAAGTTGCTTCCCAGTCGCTGTCTGCAGCTCAGCCTCTTTACACCCTATGAATATTATCATTTTTTATGTATGCCATGGTGTTACACAGATTGGGATACAGAGATCTCTCCCTCCCTCGAACTCGGGACCTTGAGCTTGCAAGGCAGGCGGCAGAACCACTAAGCTAAAGCCCCGGCTCACCAGAGATCTCTTTTCATATGAAGACATATTCAGGACATACTCCCCACTATTCCCCCGCCCTCTTTTGCCCAGCACTGAGTCATACACATCTATCACCTGCCTGGTCTCTGGAGGCTTCTGAGCTTACCATTCCTGTTCTATACTTACACTGTTGAACTTGGCTTTTAGAGTCCTGATTATATAATCAGATTTCCTTTTTTCAGCTTCCTGAGAAGAAGATTAAGATGTTAGCAATTTCAAGAAGAAGATTTCTCTAAAGTAGAACCCGGAAGCTTTGCCCCATCATACTGGGAATAGACATCTTACTTACACAGGATATGGAGAAAGGGCCAAACTGCAGCTGGATCTGTCCTGGCTCAGCCCAGTAGCGCTCACACTTTTTCTGTTGCACAAAGCAGAATATAGTGATTTCCCTTCATAGAGTCCCGTCTCTTCTGGGAAATAGGACCCATTCCCTCACACAGAAGCAGATTCAGCTCTATGTCTTTCACTTTAGGTTAGGCACTTCCAAACCCCTAACATCATAATCTGGGATCTCCAAAGGATGGGAAAACAAACAGTAAAGCATATAAAATTATAGACTTTCTAGATGTCTGAAGAAATTAGAAACAGGGTCTTTGATCTATTTGTTAGTATTCCGAAAGAACCAAAAGAGAGATGGAGGCACATGCCTGTAATCCCAGCCCTCAGGAGGCTGGAGAAGGAGGATTCCTGGTGTTCAAGGCTACACTGAACTACAGGGTGAGACCCTGTTTCAAAAGCAAAAACAAAATCAAAGAACAACAAAAAAGAACTAAAAGAAAGTATATAGGGCCAGAGATTTAGCTCAGTGGTTCCTCCGCCTGCCTTGAAAGTTCAAGGACCTGAGTTCGATCCCTGGTACCAAAAAAAAAGAAAAAGAAAGAAAGAAAAGAAAAGAAAGAATACAAATACTAAAGCAGCTGCACAAGCCAAATGAAACACTAACTTTCCCTGGTTTCAATCAAAATTCCCATCTCAGAATGGCAATGATAGTTTAGAACAGTGACATTGAACAAAAATATGTCAGCCATGGGCCGGGTGGTTCTGCTGCCTACCTTGTAAGCACAAGTCCCGAGTTTGATCCCCAGTACCAAAAAAGAAAAGAAAAGAAAAGCCACATGTGCAATTTTAAATTTTCTAATAGTCACGTTCAAAAGTAAAAAAAAAAAAAAAATTAACTTTAGCAATACTCTTAGCCCATGTCTAAAAATCTCAACATGTAATCAACATTAGTACATATTTAATGTATTTTTAAAATTAATTTTCAAAATCCTGTCTGTATTCATAGCTCATTTCAATTAGTATGCTAAATTTTCATTGGAAACAATTTCTTTTCATTTAGATTTAAATACGTTACCTTTTTTTTTTTTTGAGACAGGGTCTCACTACATAGTTGAGACTGACCTGGAACTCACTATGTAGCCCAGGCTGGTCTTGAACTCACAGCAATCCTTCTGCCTCAGTCTCCTGAGTGCTGGGATTACAGGTGTGTGCCACGACGCCGGGCGCAAGTTACATTTTTAAAAAGTTTCACATGCCCAAGTGGTCCCCAATAAACTGAAAATCTTCTTTAATAACTGGATTAAATATATTTTTAAGTTTAAATCAATTAAAATAAAATGATTGAATCCCTCTTATCATACTAGCCATATTTTAAGTGTTTAGCTACTTGGATGCCATTTTGGACACCACAAGATTAGAAGCTCTGAGTAGCAGCTAAAGATATCTGATTAATGGAAATCAGAAAGGGAATTGTTACTTTTAAAAGCACACTTTGTTTTTACATAATTTTGTGTATTTATTTATTTAATTTTTACTTTTAACTTTTTGGGTTTTTGAGACAGGGTCTCACTATGTTATTGAGACTGACCTGGAACTCACTATGTAGCCCAGGCTGGTCTCGAACTCACAGCGATCCTCCTGCCTCAGCCTGCTGAGTGCTGGGATTCCAGGTGTGCACCTCCACACCTAGCCTATATTTAATTTAAAACATGGGGTCTCCTGGAAAAATAGACTCTTAGGGGGTGAAAAAAGCCTGTCACGTGGCATTTCCAAACTGGATACTAGGAAGATAGCATGTTTTTTGTTTTTTGGTTTTTTTTAACCTAAGCACACTGAAGGAAAGTTCTGCTATCAGTTTTACCCATTTTCTTCTTCATTTTTGTATGGGGAACAAACTTGGATCCTTGTGCTTGCAAGGCAGGTGCTGAAACCATTGAGAGCTAAAACCCTGGCCCTCCTCGTGTTCTTCCTTACCTTTAGATCAACCAGCACTAGAAAGTGACTCACCTTCCCCATTTCGAACTCCATACACGCCATAACAATGATCTGGGGGAATGAAATAGATAGAAATGTAAACATCTTTAAAACTGGAAAGAGATAATACATGGGCCCCCTGGTCAGAAAGTAAACTGCCTAGTTTTGCTTTTTAACCAGAAAAGAAAGCTTGATAACTTATATTCTTCCTTCTTTCTGTCCTCGCTTCCTTTTTCTCTATTCAAATCAGTAACGTCATGTTACCTCAAGAGCCTGTCAAGGTGTGAACTTTCATTTCCTTGAACAAAAAATGACATTATGATTTAAAATTTTTAAATAATGCCTGAACTCTGAAATTCCAATGGTCAATTTTTAAAACAATTTTTGTTCTTTAATTGAGTTTATTGGTACATTTTAGGGATCCAGTACAGTTCCATTCATTGTTGGGATCTCGTACCTCTACATGACAGGTCTTGGTTCTCATTTTTGCCCCTTGTCCCTGCCCAATGGTCAATTTTTAAAAGAACAACACTGGATTTGGTAGATGGGGAAACCTCATCACATCTTGACATTCAATCCCCTTTATCCCTAGGAACTAGAGAATAAAGTGACAGAAGCAACTCTGCATTTACCAGAACACTGTATTCCCAAATCATCCTCCAGAAGTCCAGAAGAGTCGTAGGTAAAGGGCCCTGCGTGGCAATATACGCCTTGGGTGCATACACTCCCTGGAGAGGAACAGAAGTTACATCAGATGACTGCAGGAAGTACCCTCTTCTCACCTAATCCTCTCCCCGCTGCTTTTGTTTTGTTTATTTTTGGAGACAGGGTCTTGCTATACGGTTCAGGCTGTCTTTGAACTCACTATGTAGCCCAGGGTGGCTTGGAACTCAGTGATCCTCCTGCCTCAGCCTCCTGAGTGCTGGGATTACAAGCATGTGCCACCATGCCAGGCCCCATTCCCTTTTTTAAAGTTTCTAGAGAAATAGGAATACTTTTATTTCCTTTTGGTGTACCTTAATGAAGTTGGCGTTGATGTAGCTGGAATCCTCATCGGAAGTTATCAGGGACAGTTCTACCCGGCTATGATCGTCTATAATAAAAAAAGAGGGACCATGTAATTAAGGGGGCTTACAGAGCCTAAAACTATGAGTAGTGGGTGTAATAAGTGTTTTACTCTTTTACAGTCTTAAATAAATGCCATGTTCTAAGATTATGAACACAAGCAGTAGGTAGAAAGACAGAAATGCTTGAAACTGAGAGGAGGTACACATTTTTAGGGAGAAATAGAACTTACACGGCAAAATGTCCTTATATCTGTTTTTCTTTATATTCTTGGGCTTCTGAGCTACAGCTGTAGGATAGGTTCTGTCTGCCTTGAGCTTGGTGGATTGCTTTTTCAGCTTCTGTAATAAAATTCCAAGAAAAAGTTAATTTGCCATTACAGAAAGGAGGTAAGAAGCTATCTCTGGAGAGTTTTTCCTTCTCCATGCACCAAAATTCCATTTAAACTGCTTTTGCATCTTCTGGGGCTGATTTCATTAAGGACAGGGGATAAGGAGAGTAGAATTCAGTGATATTTGGAGAAGTGAAAAGTCCACACTTCACTGCAGCTGATAGCTAAAACTTAAAGGTGCAATTGATATTTTCTGGAAGTAAGCTATACATTCCACCCAATGGGAACATACTGAAAATTAGATTTACTTGCAGTATAGTTACAATTTAGTTCGATGATAAACAAAGAAATCATTAAGTTCCATTAGTCTTCTTACTCTAGATCACTTTTTTTTTCCTAAACAGACATGGAGTTTATTTGAATAAAATCTCTATATCTAATAAACTTGGAACTATTTTGGTTCCTAAGCAGTCATTTTTAAATGTGATTCAAATTTCAAGCATATTCTGATAGAGAGAAAATATAAATCACCAAGATATGAAGTAACTCCTTGAAATTATTCGCATTGCCAACACTAGAGATTAAAACTTCAGGTCGGAGGAAACGATAGCTCTTTGACGACTTGTTAGAAATCAATCGTATCTTGTTTATCATTCAAAGAAACTGTTTCTACCAGGTCTGAATTTTGTGAGGCCTAGTCAGTTTGCAAAAGAAGAAGGGTGTTAACTTCCTTCTGAAATTTCCTCCTTTCTTGTTTCTTATTAGTCTACATTTATCGCAGTTCTCCTCTGTGACTTATCCCTCTCACTTCCCGCTCTTTCTTAATGGTTCTCTGTCCGTTTTTGATGTCCTAATTGACAACTACCCAACGCTCCAATGCTAAATCCCCAGGGCTCTGCTCTTCTCCCACTGTATATGCATTTGTTCAGAGAGATAAATATTTTATGGCATAGCCAGTGTTTGCTGATTTCATGGATTAAAGTAGAATTATATTTCCAACCCCTATTGGAAAAGTCTCAAATTTCCCTTACACAGTTTTCACTATTTCAGTCTCAAGTTCTCAACCATATCCTAGACAGCTCTACGTTAGTGTCTATCACAGCTTCAGACCCGGCACGTTTACGACTAAAATCAACGCTGTCCCCTTGCACATATGAGTGGCACTGTTTTCACCCCAAACAACCGCACTATAGAAACTGAGAGTCACGGTTCCCCTTTCCACAGTTCCCAAGTCAACTTCAGTTAGCGACTTCAGTGGGGGGCCGGGGATTTAGCTCAGTGGCGCTGCACCTGCCTCGCAAGCACAAGGACCAGAGTTCAATCCCCGGTACCAAAAATATAAAAATAAATAAAAAATAAAGATGATTTCCAGGTTCTTTCAAGATTGCACAAATTGATGTCACTGATAGTTATGTAAAATATGACTTCTTTAAAATTAGGCCATTCCTTTTTCCCTCATAAATATATCCTTTGAACTGCTTATGTAATTCCGGCCATCGCTCCCCTGAACAGGGTGAATTTTTGTTTGTTTGTTTGTTTTTTGTTTTTTTGGTACCGAGGATTGATCTCGGGTCCTTGCGCTTGCAAGGCAGGCCACCGAACTGCTGAGCTAAACCCCTGGCCCAACACAGGGTGAATTAATGAAGAGAAGTATGAAAATAAAGAAATTCTCTCATATGACTAGCAATAAGAAAAAAATTAAAGGGGATTGTTATCGTTGTTACTTAATTGCTTATATTTCATCTATTGTTTTCACATAATTATGATGTGTTTATATGTAGCAGTTTACCTGAGGAGACTTACTAAGTGGCTTTAACAAATGGGTGTGGAAAGGGACCCTAAATTAAAAATATGATGACATTGAAAAGAGAGAAACAGAGAAGGGAGGAAATAGAGAATAGAAATTTGATTTGGAAAATAATTCAAATCCATCATTAAGTCTCAAAACTGGCTCAGGGTAACTTGGCAAATACCTCAGAGACTCTACAAGGAGAAGAAAAAGTTGAGATCATAACATGTTTTGAGCTGAGAGTTCAAAGCACAACTAATTACCAACTATCCAGAGTCCAAAAGCCTTGATATTGTATAAATACAATAATAAGTAGATCATTACATTATTTCAACAAACCAGTGTATGGGAATGTAAGCCTTTTCTAATTAAGGGTGCTGAATGGAATGGATGGCCAGCCCTTGGGCTTATTTGAGTGTGTATTGCTCTTTTTTTTTTTTTAAATGAAGTTAAATCTTTATTTAACCAACATTTCCTGCCTACTTACTATATGCTAAGCACAGCGGGTATAAAGATGAAAGAAGCATGAATCACTCCTACACTCAAGAAGCAACACCATTAAATCTAGTCCCTTATTTCTGTCTCCACAGTATTAGGTTCATAACTCAGTTTTAGCATTTACAATATTACATTGTGATTATCTATTTGGTTTTCAGTTTCCCCTCTAAAATATGAACTCTTAAAACTGTTCACTTTTATATTCCTGGAGCCTACTGCACCATCTGGAACTGACTTGTTAAATTGAATTAAATATACCATGAGACGTAGTCATGTAAATGATGGCCTGAATCGTGTGACGAGTGTTATAGTAAAGGTATATTCTGTTCCAAGACAAAGCAAAGGAAGTAATTCATTTTTCTCTGGGGAAAGCAGGGAAGGCTGTGGAGGTGACATGGGAACTGACAGCGAATCACTGTAAAACATGAGTAAAAGCTGTGAGATGAAGACTCTTCCAACCAGAGGAAGTGTAAGACTGCACAGCAGCTGGGCACAGGGACACAGGCCTGTAATACCAGCACTTTGGGAGGCTAAGAGGGAGGATCACAAGTTTGTGTTTTTCCCTCTCATGTTACGTATTTTATTCCGGACTTTTTACATTGTTTTTTATTGGTTCATTTTAGATATACATAATGATAATATTCATCGTACAGAATTTCTAACTACACATGATATATATGTTGCTTTCTTCCCTACCCACCTCTCCTCCTTTTGACCCCCTTCCCCTCATTTATAAAAGCTTTGTTTCCAATTTTTTTTTGTTTTGTTCCCTTCTTTCCTTTCCCTCTCCCTCTTTCCTTGTTCCCCTTCTCATTTGAACATTTTCTTTCCATTTCCCAATATCTATTACAGAGTTTGGTCCTTTTTTTAAAAAAAATATTTTTACTGTCAAACCAGTGTGTTTCTTGGTTTACTTACTTTTGGTTTCTCACACCAGAGAAACAATGTGGTGTTTAAACATCTGTGTCCAATTTATATCACTTTACACTCTCAAGATGCATCCATTTACCTAGAAATGTCTCAAGCTTATCCTTCTTTATGGCAGAGTAATACTACATTGTATTTTAAAAGACAACACACCTTTATCCACTCTTTGCCTGATGGTCGTGTGGGCTGTTTGCAGGATTTAGTTATTACAAACTGTGCTTCTATAAACATGGGTGTGCATGTATCACTGTAGTATGCTTTTAATTCTTTCGGGAAGACATCAAGAAAGAGAAGACCTGGGTCAAATGGAGCCTCTAGTTTTAGTTTTTTCAGGAATCTCTACACTGATTTCCACAGTGATTGTACCAGTCTACACTCCCACCAACAGTGGAGAAAGGTTCCTTTTTTTCCCACAGCCCTGCCAGCATTTGTTATTGGTTGATATCTTTTTTCAAAAAACTTCTTCATAATAGCCATTCTTTCTAGAGAAAGATGGAATCTCAGTGTTGTTTAAAATTGCATCTCTCAAATGACCAGTGATGTTGAACATTTTTCATCTATTTATTTGCCATTTCTACTTCTTTATCTGAGAAGTGTCTATTCATTTCACATGCTCTTGCTTTGAATGGGTCTTTAAATTTGGGAGGGTCCAATTTTTTTGAGTTCTTTATATATGCTCAATATTAATCCTCTAATGAACAGCTGGCAAAAATTTTTCCCACACTGTGGGTTATCTCTTCACTCTACTGGTGGTTTCTTCGTTGTGCAAAAGCTTTTAAATAAAATGAGAACACATTGTTTATTCTCTGTGATATTTCCTGTGTGGTTGGGGTTTTGTTCATAAAGTCTCTGCCTACACCAATGTCCTCAAGAGTTCTACCTATTATATCTTCCAACAGATCTAGTGTTTCTGTTTTAATATTTAGGTCTTTGATCCATTTTGATTTTCATTCATAGTGAGAGAGTTAGGTCTAGTTTTAATCTTTGGCATATGGAAAGCAAGTTTTTCCAGCACCATTTATTAAAGAGGGTGCCTTTCTTCCAGTGAAGGTGTTTGGCTCCTTTGTCAAAGATAAGGTGGATGACTATGTTGGGAGCTGTTTTTGCATCTTCTAATCTGTTCCACTGACCCTTGATTCTATTTTTTTTTGCCAGTACCATGCTGTTTTTATCACTGTAGCTCTGTAGTATAATTTTAAGTCAGGGATTGTGATGTCCCCTGCCTTGAAAGGCCCTGGTTTCAATTCCTAGGACTGACAAATTGTGTCTGCTGGTTTCACCTTCTCTGTTGCTGGAAGAACCTGGCTCTGAGATGCTGCTTTCTATTCCTCCCATCAGTGGTCACAAGTGGTTTATAGATACTTGCTCAATAAAAGATGTACCATGCTTATGGAAGTACCACCACTCAAATATAAACATCAATCCTGCTGTCAAAAGAAATTGTCCCTTAAGTGCCACATAGAATGTGGGTGTCAGTGAATTTACACTTGATCTTAGCCAAAAGACTGAGAAGCGATGGGTGTCAGTGAATTTAAAAATCCTGTCACCACTGCCAAGTGCTCACAGAGCCTCAGCGGGACCCTCAGAGCATAAAGCAGCCCCAGCTCCGCCACAAACCACAGGGAAGCCCCAGCCCCTGCCAGCCCGGCTCGCCCACGCTCCTTCCAGCCCAGCAGCAGGCTTACGCCATGAGCAGGTGCAGAAGAAAATGCAGCGGCAGCCACGGTTTAACCCCTGTGTGCATTGCTCTAATGACCCTTTATTTTTTATTTTCTATTTTTTTAGGGTTTGGTCAG